CAGTAATTTGGCCCATTCCCGGCAAGGCGCTTGCTTGAGGTGATCCACACTTTGGTATGTTTTAGTGCCAACCTTGCTTTCCAAAATACTCCAGACACAGTAGTCGAACGGATTGGTATCCGGAGATTTTGGTGGCCATTGTGCACTGGAAATGAAGCGAGGAATCTCATTTTGTAACCATTCTTGGATGCCGTGTGCCATGTAAGACCTGTTGAAATGTCCAAAGTCTGCGGACAAAATGTTTGCGTGCCCAAGGCTTAAATATACCTTCCAGAATATTCGGCATTTATTCTGATGCCACGGCCGATTAATACGATTGGAGAGCGCCCACATCGACCATCGGCTGTTATGGCGGCCCTCACCGTCAGCATGGTCGGCGCTTGAGCTCTGGTGGCCAACCGAAGGTTCACATTTTCAGCTGACCTCTTCGGCAAGTAAACACGATCATTTTGTTTGTTTACAAACTGCTGGACAACAAATGTTTTCTCAACGAAGAAAAATCAAATTCGGCAGTTCACCACTTTCGGCCAAGCGAAGAAACTCTTTAACTCTTTTGAGTTTAGTTTCTCTCTGATGCGGTGTTAGTTCTTGCACTTTTAGGAATTACAATGGCTTTACCCCGAGCTAATTTTTCAATATTTGCCGAATGGAACATTGCGATATGTTCAGCTCACGAGCCATTTTTCGGCCACTGCGACGCGCGCTTCGATCAAGTCGCTTCTTTACTAATGTTGCTGTTTTCTTCTGTCCACTTCCTTGACGTCGGGCTACGCTACCAGTATCACAGTAACGAGCGATGGTACGATACATTTTAGACTTATTCACATTTAAATGCTGGAGTGCTCCAACGATAGCCACTTTTGGTTTTCCCAGCCAAATATAAGGAAATCACGCTTGAATTCCATCACGAATAACTTTTTTTCTGCAAAAATCTCACCAAAATACTTTTGTACGCTTGTATAATCACTGGAATAATTTTAACAGCTATCGGACGAGTGGCTTAGAAATGACAGCAGTCGAAAGATAGTTGCAGTTTTTTCATCTCACCCTGTACTAGTTTTAAATTGTTTTCTACATCAAAGTAAAAATCGGTTATCGTACTAAACGTTTTTACAGTTCTGGGCCTCAATTCTTTTTCTATGAAAATGTGAAATGGAAACTTTTGTTAAGGAAATATTTTTCATTTCATATTTTCATAAAACAAGAAACCAGGACCTGGAACAGGCCATCTGAATGTCGATATGTCCAAATGAGTTTTTTTTTTTAATTTGACTTTATCGCATTTTCTTTCGTATTGACATACGATCCTGCTTTGAACAAAATGTTTTCTTTGGGTGTATCAGTCTATGATTGGTCGCCAGAAGATCTCATAGTTTACCCCCAAAAAGAAATGTTAAAATAAATATTTAGACTACTTTCTCACCTGATTATCACTGTGGTCTCTGCAGGCCTCTGTTTGTTTAGACACTTTTCAATGTTATGGAGGAGTTATGCCACGAGATGTTCACACGTTTCTACGTATAGATATATGTATTTTTATCGTTCATGTGTGCAGCACTTTGTTATATACACATATTCTTACAACATGATCGTTAAAGCCGATATTTGTTGTTAAAATATATTCATTTACTGTTGTTGTTATTGTAGCCGTTATATTGGGGTCTATACGAAGACATGGACCTGCATAGGTAACTTTTGTCATAAGCCTTTACAATATTCAAACGCGAAACTGAAAAAAAAATCGGTGAATAATGTAGATAAAATAGACCGACTATCGGGGAGTACCGTTATATGGGGGCTATTCGAAGACGTGTCATAGGCTGTAGTCTTCATTGCGAACTGCAAATACTAAATTTGAAATAGTTCCGGTAAATAATGTCTTTAAAATCATCAAAATACCCAATATCGGGAGGTACCGTTATATGGGGGCTATACGAAGACGTGGACCTACATGGCTCATTTTCTCTCTTGGGATGTAGTATCCATTACGAACTTACAAATTTGAAAAAATTCCGGTAAATAATGTCGCTTAAATCATCGAAATACCGAATATCGGGTGGTACCTGCAGTCATAATACACATTTGAGTAAAATTTTATCAACATACTTCATTTCGTTCGGAAGCTAGAATGATTTCCACAGACGGACAGACGGATTTTATGCTGATCAAGAATATATATACTTTGTGGGGTCTAAAATCTATATTTCGAGGTGTTACAAACGGAATGACAAACTTAATATACCCTCCATACTATGGTGGAGGGTATAAAAAAACAAATAACTTCTTGCATTCATTTTGAATAAATAATTGAAAACCGCGAAAACAGAATGAAAGGTCAACATTTCTTTTCAACATCGTCTTCTATTAATCTCTAAAGGTTTATTTTGCTACAAAAACTGTAGATTTCGTCGATGCATACGTTGCAATAATCATTTTGGAAACACCCGAATTTGAATATTTTCTGAACAATTTTTTATTATTGAATTATTAAAGTTGACATATTATGCCACGAAAATAAAAAATATGGTATCGTAGCCCTATCTTGATTTTATTGTACCATGCTACAATGGATAGTTACTCATAAATGTACATTTATGTTTCCATGTTTAACTCTAATTAAATAATGCCTATCTAATATTTTTAAACAGATAAAAGTTGATGGATTGGTAATTCCATATAATTGTCATATAATGGTAGTCTGTATCTCACTTAAACGACAAACCGAAAGTGTACAAAAATTTGATCTTCCAAAATGGAAAATGACGCCGTCGTAGGTTCCGCTTTCATAAAAAAATGGGAGCTTGGTGCAAAGTGGTACTAAAACATGCAAAAAAAGAATGCAAAGGGTATGGTAATTTGTCGTCATTTGGCTAATGTTAACAAATATTAAAATACTATTAACGACGTATGGTTCGGTTGCTGACGTCATAACAAACAAAAAATGTGACGACAAATGTTATCTTTTTAGGGACTTATTGTGATATCATTACTAAATGTTTTTTTTAAGATATCGACAAAATCAATAAAACTCAGAATATACAATTTTTGAGCTGTGGCGTTTTTCTGCTCAATAGTTTAATGGTAATAAATGTAAATCGTATCAGTAAAGTAGTCAGATGAAGGACCAGAGGCCTGGCACCAGAAGTGGTCACTTTAAAGATATGTTTTTTTGCACATTGTCCACAGAAAAGTTCACAGCCCCTGGATATATATATTTTTGCCATTGCTGGCTACGTCCCTGAGTTACATACATTTGTATGTTGATTAATCATTTGTTATCTCCAAAAGTGTCGATAAAGGGTACACGCGAACCTCATCTTTTTAGTGTTGTCTTAGCAACGTCGTTCATTTTTATGTTATATTCCTATTTAAAATAAGTAAAAATGTCATGGCTATACCAATATCTTGAACGATTATACCTAATCTAAGGAGTTTAGATTTTAAGAAACTTTACATGAAAATATAGTGGTAAAGGGTATCACGTGCTGGGCGAAAAATGACTAAAAAAACAGTATATGGAACTATTTAACTCATTCCCATTGAAATCAGCAATCTTAGTTGCTTTGCAGCAAGACAGTTCCCCCCAAGGATTCATTGACATACAAGGTGAGATGAAAAAACTACAAGCAACTTCAGACTGCTGTCATTTCTAAGCCACTAGTTCGACAGCTGTTAAAATTATTCCAGTGACAGTTCATTATTTTGTTTACAAGCGTACAAAAGCATTTTGGTGAGATCTTTCCAGGAAAAAAGTTATTCGTGATGGAATTCAAGCGTGATAGTGTGATTTCTTTATATTTAGCTGGAAAACCAAAAGTGGCTATCGTAAGAACACTTCAGCATTTAAATGTGAATAGATCTCGTTAACGTGATACCGTACGTCAAGGAAGTGGACGGAAGAAAACAGCAACATCAGCAGAAATGGTTCGAATAGTAAAGAAGCGACTTGATAGAAACCCTCGTCGTAGTGGCCAAAAAATGGCTCGTGAGCTGAACGTATCGCAATATTCCATTCGGCAAATATTGAAAAATGAGCCATTGAAATTCCAAAAAGTGCAAGAACTTACACCGCAAGAGAAAGAAAATAGACTCAAAGGAGCTAAAGAGTTGCTTCGTTTGGTCGAAAGTGGTGAACTGTCGAATTTGATTTTCTCCGATGAGAAAACATTCGTTGTCCAGCAGTTTGTAAACAAACAAATAGATGGCGTTTACTTGCCAAAGAGGTCAGCTGAAAATTTTAGTTTTTTATCTCACCCTGTAATACCTGCTAAATACGTAATGGCGACTTTAGAGGCTTTCGGATTATACTTGTCTATCCAAAGAATCACTGTGTTACCCAATTTTAGAAGTGGATAATTTTTGACATATTCGGAAACACTTTCTGGTAACATTCAATAATATCAACATTGGGATCAATAAGCTCTGATTCTCACCTTCTCTCCCACCATTAAAATACAATTTAACCGTCATATGATGGATGATATACTGTTTCGCTTGTTTCCAAGAAAACATCAAAAATATAATTAAGAATTTCAACTGAAAATCGATACGACGAGTTAAATGCTTACGCAAATAAAATAAAAACGACAGTATTTACCACACATGTACTTCTCAAGATATCAATACCAAAAGTTATTTTTAGACTCACTTGTTGAGATCTAACACCCTTTTGGCAAACGATTGATCGTTTTTTCCTACCAAAGAGTGGAGGCCATAACTTCGCCTTATTAACAGTGAAATATCCAAACATTAGTCTAATTTTTGAAAAAAAAAAACATATCCATGGACGTCGTTAAACTGCATGTCATCTCGATATTGATTTAAATTACACATTGAATATGTTTTCTATTGAAAATTAGTCAAGTCAACATTTGGTCTGCTATTTGGTATTATCGTATCACTATCGCCGAATCGCAACGATTCCAATATCACATCTTTTGTACCTCGCCGGGTACAACAAATTTTAACAGATTGAGAATTATCTCCAACAAATTTATGAACTCGTTTTATATAATTTTATTTTATTAACTTTATATATATTTATAATACAAAAATATTAATCTTAAATTGGGATTTTATAATTTTGTGTTTATGTTTGGGGGGGTTTCTGCTTCAAATGCGTTGCACAGAATTCTTACATAACTAGAAGAATACATTTCTAAAAAAAAAAACGAAAATATGTAATCCTATTAAATACTATGTTTTTGTCTAGAGCAATAGCGAATCTGAAACAAGATCAAATATATCAAAAAACAAAACATGTAGCTTTTAATGTTAACATTAAAAGCACACAAAAAGAAAGACAATAATTTTGGCCTCACGTGTTTTTTTTTTTGTTTTTACAAAACATTTCATTTCAAATACAATTGTATTGCTTTTCTTATGCTTAGCTACCATGGGTAGATAGTTTCCAATTAATTAAAAATACTAAAAAATTATGGGTATGATAATATATAAAATAGGTATACGGAATATTTTATAAAGTAGTATTGTTGCGAATTGAAATGGTAGGTAAAGAGCGGGAACCAATATTGTAAAATCTCACTCCGAAAAATGTTGCGTTTCATGTTCTGTGGGGGGTTTAAACTGAAATTGAAAAAGAAGTCGATTTACTTTTATTGTCACTGATGTGATATCATCACATTTTACTGACCCTATTTCTAAAATTATTTTTTCCATTCTAATTATTTAGTTATCACAATTTAACACTGCTAAGCAATTTGTGATATATCCCAGACATCTTCGTCGTCATCGTCCTCCTCACCCTGTTTCCCCACTCTTAACAAATGCTGGCGATGCTGTTGGTGATGGCTTCCATCAGTGTTGGACTGCTGATGCCGTCGTCAGTCATTGTACATGCCATCGACCAAGAAATCCATACGGCGATAGTGGCGTGTTGACCAACAGTCGCGGAATCGCCGATAGGTTGTGATTAGAACTCCTATGACAAGTGGTATTATGAAGATCATTGAGACAACGGGTAGAATATAATCTCGACCACCATGGAAACTGTTGTGATTGAAATTCTCCTGTGAGGGTTGGGCATAGGGTGCTTCGGGTAAGGGTAATTTGCTGGAAGAAGATTGTTGCTGCTGCTGTTTGGTTATGTTAACCCATGCCGGGTTTTGTTTATCCAAATCGGGGAAATCTTCTACGCCATAGGTGACTGTGGGTTTTTTCGGCTTAGGTGTGGTTGTTGTTGTGGTAGTGGTTGTCGTAGTGGTAGTTGTTGTCGTTGTGCTGGTGGTGGTCGTCGTTGTGCTTGTTGCCTGTGTCGTTGTGCTCACATTTTTATTAACATTTATTCCAGATCCCCCACCAGGAGAAACGGCCGTGGTTGTTGTTGCATTACTTGCAGTTGCATTTGTTTTTCCAACAATGGCTGGTGCGTTTGTTGTTGTAGTAGTTGATGAATTGTGCACAACGACAGCAGGAGATGCTGTTGTTGGTTTTGTTGTCTCGTTTGCATTTACTTTAGTTGTATTATTTATAATTGTGTTATTTTTATCGACATGAGTCAAGTGTGCTTTATCGTCAACAACAGCAGTGCTGTTATTTGAAGCTATGGACATATTTTCGCTTTTATTATTGACAATGTCCGCATTCATGGTTTGATTTAGTTTTTCTCCATTATCCTTATCTGACTTGGTGGTAGCATTCCTCAAATCAATAACAATATTTTCGGATACTTGTTGGCCGACTTTAGCTGTTTTGGGAGCCTCAGTTGTAGTGGTGCTGCTTGATTTCTTTTCCACTTCAGTTTTATTGTTTTCCAGCCCACTGACTGTGTAGTTTCCGACTTGCGTCACTTTCCGCGATTTCACCTGATTGGCTTCCTTGCTGTTCATCAACTGTGTCAATGGTATATCTGATGGTTTCAAGGCTGAACCGGTAATCACTTTAACATCTTTATTGCTAAGTTCGATTATGGTCTTGGTGTCGCTTGTATTGGATGCAGTTGTAATGTTGGTCTTAGCCTCGTCCACGGTTGCTACCAACAACAAACTGGACCCCCACACAGTTATCAATAGTAAAAGTTTTGTGTATTCCATTTTGTCCAATTTATTTGTAATCCATAATAATTAAATGGGATGTATGGTAGAGAGTAATACTGGCGCTTATTCCACGGATAATTTAATTTACTTGTGATGCCGTTGACGTTGCAACGTTGGTTGTTCGTTGCGAGCGTTGGAAAGAAAAATGAAAAACGTCCCAACGAATCGAATATGAAGGCCACAAAGGAATACCTGATAAAAAAAAAAAAACAGAAAGCAAAGACTCCGGGTACTCTGTTGTTTACGAATGAGACATGAGAAAATTGAACATCTTCACTAAAGAGCACGGCACTAGCTGCTACTATCGTTTTTCCAAATTCTATCAATAATGTGGCGTTTCCACTGCACTTGATTCGCTCTCTATTCGTTGTTTGACCCTTAACTATGAAAAACCTACTTAATTCTTCACACAAAATTTCCTGAGCGAACACTCATATTCGTACATTGTTCAAATCAAATCACTCTCAGAACGACGAAAAAATGTGTCCCATCCCTAACAAATGAGAGCATTTATCGAAAAAATAAATTATGACATTTAAAAATTGAAAATAGAAAAATTTAATGAAATTTTGATAATTTTTGGGAAGACTGAAAATTATGAATGAAAATTACAATGTTGAATAGCGTATGTACATTCAAACGAGAGTAAATTTTGTTTTCTCTCTCATCCGAGGTACGCATATTGTCCACGAGTTGAAATTTCCACAGGAAACTGGAAACAAAAGAGGCAATATTTTCAAAATGTTTGTATCGGCAGAAAAAATGTTTGACAAGTGTCTCTCCAGCAAAATTAAAAAACAGAAAAATACAAAAATATGTTAAAAATGTCAACATTTACACAAAAAGTTGAAAACGTGAATGAAATTTTTAAAATTAATGATATAATAAATCTTTGGTAGAAAAACAATCATTTCTTCTACTCATATTACTGAGAATTTAATGTATTTTAGTATAAATTCCCATTAAAATCAACAAACAAAATTTTTGAAAAAATGAATTATTTTACTATGAATTACTAATCGTGCCGTATGAACGGGTTAATTCGTGTACCTAATTCTGAGAGCGAACAACGTTGTTCGGTTTTCAATGGAAACATGCTATAAATATGCTCTGTTCATCGATGTTTTGTTTTGAATTGAATTTTGCTGCTATGTTTATGGGGATTCGTAGGTCGACTCTTGACTTATCGAGTCACTGGGAAATCGATAAAAGGATTGTCATGATTTGTAAGTAAAAAAGTACGATTTCTCTTGAAGAAAAAATATTCCCAGTATTGGAACAACTCTAGTTTAGTAAAAACTCTTAGATTTTTTGGAAATTTTTTCCAGAGGTAGGTATTTTTACCCTGATCCCGGGAAACTATTTTTTTCTTGGGGGACGGACCCGGGACCCCAGATTTTTGACCCAAAAGTCCGGGATCAAGACCCCGCCTGGACCCGGATCCACTTACCCGATATGTGACCACTAGTTGGATAGGAATTTTCATAAGCTTTCCAACGATACATTGTCTATATCGGATAAGTGGATCCGGGTCTAGTAGGGGTCTCGAACCCGGACTTTCGGGTCAAAAATCTGGGGTCCCAGGTCCGTCCCCCAAGAAAAAAATAGTTTCCCGGGATCATGGTTAAAATACCTACCACTGAAAAAATTTTCGAAAAAATTGAAGAGTTTTTACTAAACTAGAGTTAAGCCCCAGTATTTTTTATAAAAGCAATCTTAATGTATTTAACAATACTTATTCTTGTAAAAATTTATTGCTGCGGTCCGACAATTTATTTTATAAAATATTAGGAAGTGTTCGGAGGCGGTTGGCTCTCAGAGTTGCATAGAATTTAAAATGTGTGACCGTTAACCTTGAAATGTTCTAATATTCAATGGAATAGATACATACTTGAAAGTTTAAATAACAAAATGTTGTAGAATGTAAGAATTCAACTTGGATTGTATTGTACAAAGCTTAAATGTCATTAAACATGAATTTTGTTGTGTAATCTGTTTGTAAAATAAAGAAATGTGGAATTCCCTTTTTACGAATTACGTTGTCGAGAGAGTGCAGGAATGGAAAAAGAGTACAAATTTCATTAAATTATAAAAACGATGTTGATTCTAATTTTATTCTCTGCTCCAGAACCTGCAAGAATCTACCAGTTTTAAAATTTGTTTTAAATATCATAAAGGGAAATTGGTTATCGTGGTAAAAACTTTTATTTTCTTGCAGTTCTGGAACAGACAGAACAGAGTTGTATTGCGGTAAAAAGCATACATTTTACGGAACAGCTGCTTTCCCGCTGAATATTACTAGAAATAGGTGCGTACGATAAAAAAAATAAATACAAAATGCAACCGATTCCCTAAAAAAATTTGTTACATTCTGTAAATGCTGAGAAAATGAAAACTGGAATTTTTAAAGTAGAAAATAAACTATAAAATAGAAAAATAATAAATTTAAACTAGAAAATAATACAATCTTTAAGGCTTATAGCCTGAAAAATATGGCCTGTTCCAGAACTGCAAGAATATCAAAATTTTTACTACGAAAACCGATTTCCCTTTATGATATCGGAAAAATTAGCAAAACTAATAGATTTTTGAAGGTTCTGGAATAACCCTATAGTTTTCCCAGTAAGAAATTGCTAACGCTCGATAACAAAACTGTCAAAATGGTCCTCTTCTTATTTGTCTTTGGAAATTTTGTAAACAATTATTGAACAACATTAAAAAAACAGCTGTTTCGTATAATCAAAATTACTATTTTTATAGTCCAAATTAGTATTTGGGATTAATGCTCGGTATTTGCCAAACTTTTAAATAAAATAAATTTACTTCCTTCTTCATTTATTTATTCACTTTTGTTTCTTTGTAACTTTCACATTTTTATCGTTGTTATTCTTGTCCAACTTCTTGGATCTGGCTTTCCAACCCATTGGACTTTCCTTATAGGTTCCATGTAATTTATCCAACCAACCGAAGACACCAAAATTATAATTAAACCTAAAAAATATAAAAGAAATAAACAAAAAATTCCACAACACTAAAACATTTCTACATACTTAGCATGATGATAGTCGTGGAACACCACCGATGACTTATACAAAGGCCATGGAAATGAGTATCCTGTATGATCAGTCATGGAGTTTACAATTGCTAGTATGGTAAATGTCCAGACCACTGTTATGTGAGCATTTACGAGTACACTCGACAGGGCAATGGGTCCCAAGTTGCTTAGGAGATGTTCCAAAGGTTGGCAGTAGAAGGTTATGGCCGCAACTGGCGCTGTCCATTCATGATGTTGTTTGTGTATGTATTTGTAGATGGAACGATGGTGTAACATACGATGGGCATAATAGAACATAACCTCCTCCAGCAGGGCCATTATTGCTATATCCAAAAGATATGTTTTCAGAGAAGGCAGTTGACGTATACTCTCTTTGGTCCATTGGTGGGTAAAGCTTTTGGCAAAGACATAGAGTAGAATTGGCGTCACAAGCAGCTGATTGATAAGGACTTGTCTAACGGCCTAAAATTTGAAAAGAAAATAATTATTTCCAGAGAACGGCCCTTGTAAGCCATCATCCACATCAAATATGCCTGATGAGCCGCTTAACCAACGGCGAAACGCGTCGCATAGTGGTGAGTGTGTGATAGTGTCTATCTGGCTTTCCTTTTCACTGCAAATTTCAGATCATTAAGCTCGTCTCGAAAGAGAAAACAAACACTTAGAAAATAATTATTATTATCATGATTTAAAGGTGGTTTCAAATTCTAAGCGAAAGCGATTATTATCTACTTTTGACAGATAGCAATCAGTGTTTGTTTTCAATAAATGTTTGGGATTTAAGATTAGACCCAGAGCAAGTGTCTTAATTATAGTGGTTTATATGACATTATTTGTATTTGTATTATCTAATCGCTTTGTATTTGCTAGTCATATAAACACCACCCATAGAGATTAATTTAAATCTGTAGACCCAAAACACCTGCAATCGTAGTCCAATAAGACACTATTTAATACAAATAACCTCTTTAAACTATGGACTATAGTTCCCTTAATGTTATTTGTAAAAAATATGATGGTCTGTATATTTGGAATGTTATTTTTTCCAAAAATGATAAATAGTGGAATTTAACTGAAATTACGGTAGAACTAAGAAGGTAATGTCATGCAATCAATTTTTTTTCAAAATTATTTACGTATTGTCAATATGTTTATTTATAAATCCAGAGCTGGATATTGTTATTTGAAATTAGATTACTTTTGGTCTATTCCAGAATTGCAAAATTGTAAAACTTTTTACTACCATAACCGATTTTCCTTTTATGATGTCGAAAAAATGCAAAAATAGTAGATTCTTGCCATACTTAGGCTGGAAATACATAAAGCGCACATTTGGCTGGCTTAAGTCATCGGCTGGCTTCTTCGTAAATGAACAAAGGAATTTTAGGTTGACCTAGTTTGATTTTGGCCCTAGGCTCCTTTGTTCATTTCCGAAGAAGCCAGCCGATGACTTAAGCCAGCCAAATAAGCGCTTTATGTATTCCCAGCTTTAGCGTTACCATAGTCCCATTCTTTTTTCTTCTCATTTATGCATGATTGAATAAAATATATCTCAAGAAAAATTCTTACCTTGCGGACATTCATGATTTAGCTGAATTAAAATCGAAAAAGCACAACAAATGGAATAAACAAAGTAAGAACAAGACCCATTAGCGTTGCCATATTCTCAAATTATTTTTTGCTCATGTATGCATGACTAGAGAAGTGACCTCTCCAGAAAAATTCTTACAGTGCAAATTGAATTCGATGGCGATATTCTCATAATCGAGCTGAATAAAAATCCACAAATTTATTGACCACGAATTTTTTGACAGAAAATTTTTCAAGATCCACGATTTCTAGGCATGAAAAAATTTTTCTAAATAAAAGAGTCACTATTCTTGAGCGTGCATATTGTTTGATTTTTTAAAAATCCATGGGTTTTCCCCGGAAATCTTTGAAAAATCCACGATGTTGGTAAGAAATCTGTTCATAAAAAACCTACACGATTCTTGATTAAGAATGCACCATTTTGTCCACAATTACCATGTTTTATAGACAGGTATGAAAAAAACCCTTTTTATTTTGGAACTCATCTTTTATTTTCAAATAATTTTAAGATCAATTCCATAACTACTTCGCAAGACTTGTGACATATTTTTGTAATATTTAATAATAATTCCGTCCGACTTTTTTGAGTTGGTTGAATAGAAGAATCATTTGCCCTTTATTTACATACCATTGACGTTACTGAAAAAATCGGTATCTGAACAACTGAAAATTTGTTTTTATCGAAAATTGTCGTTAATTCTGTCGTTTCATAGTTACAGAATCGCACTACAGATCCCTTTTATCCGTAAAAAGGATTTTAGATGAGAATACATAAAACGCTTCATTGACTGGTTTAAGTCATCGGTAAAAGAACAAAGGTCCAACATCGAACTAATTCAATCTAGAGATACTTTGTTCATCTACGGAGAAGCTATTCGAATAAGCGTTTTATGTATTCTCACCTTTGTGGTCTGTTCCAGAACTGCAAAAATGTAAAAATGTTTACTCCGATAACTTCGATTTACGAAAAAATGCAAGAGTAGTAGATTCTTTCAGGTTCTGGAACCGAACATTAATTTCCCCTATTATACAATCCACATACTTCTCGTGATCTATTACTTGATGTTTCTACATTATATAGATGTCGCGAGTTTCAAATTATAAACAATTTTATATTTTTGCTTTTCTCTAATGCGTCTAACTAGATTTGATCCATTATAAATAGTTGTATGAGGCTAAATTGCATTAAGGCTGGAAATACATAAAGAGCATATTTGGCTGGCTTAAGTCAGCGGCTGGCTTCTTCGTAGATGAACAAAGGAGGTTTAGGTTGACTTAGTTCGATTTTGGCCCTAGACTCCTTTGTTTATTTCCGAAGAAGCCAGCCGATGACTTAAGGCTGGGAATACTAAAGCGCATATTTGGCTGGCTTAAGTCATCGGCTGGCTTCTTCGGAAATGAACAAAGGAGTCTAGGGCCAAAATCGAACTATGTCAACCTAAAACTCCTTTGTTCATCTACGAAGAAGCCAGCCGATGACTTAAGCCAGCCAAATATGCGCTTTATGTATTTCCAGCCTAAGTCAAGCTAAACTTCTTTTTTCTTTTACGAAAAAGCCAAACGATAACTTATACCAGAAAAGAGTTCTCTTTTATATATCCAACATAAAGGTGACGCTTTTTTAACTGCTTCGAAAAATAACAAAGGAGCGTAGGGACAAAATCGAACTAAGTCGACCTTAAACTCCATTGTTTCTCTACGAAAAAGCCAGCCAATGACTTAAGCCAGTCAAAAAGTGTTTTATGTATTCTCACCTTAAAAACGACACCGTCTACTCCAACTTTTAAAGTGCTCGATCTATTGTGTCCTTTAGAGGTAATTTGTTAATTTTTAGGTATTGCAAAAAGTTTTAACCGATTTAAGATACATTGTACTTAATGGAAATATTGAATTTCATTTGTTCACTTCTTTATGAATAGAACAGACCTTGACCTTCTGTCTACGTAACTTGTTTTTGATTTAATAATACACTTTGCAACTTACCTTCCAAAATTTCTTCATATCCAATGGTACATTTTGTTCCGGCTGTATTTTATGCTTGAAAAACCATTTTGGCCGTTGCGTGTAATCGACTATCGCAAATATGGACGCATATATCCAATAGGTAACAAATACAAGTATGGTGGAATTAAGAACCCATACTCTAACGGGATCATCACCTGCACAAGAAATATTGCTCAGATTAGTACAAAGTTCAATATTTTCACTAAATTAGATAGGAGATTTTGCCGGTCGGCCGGTGTATATTCAAAAAATGAAAGATAACACAAGTAGTTTTTTTTTTACCAGTAGCATCCAAGAATTTATTCCAAATCGCTTGTGTTTCAAAACCGAGCTTTGTCAACATGATGTTGCGCTTTTCTTTTGTACATCCGTAAAGTAACAATGTTATTTTGCGAATGCCGACGCTCCGCTTCAGAGATTGTGTTAACGCTTAGCTGCGCCGTCTTTGATAATCAAAGCAAATCGAAACAAAACAAATTCTAATCTCCTACGATTATCAGTAGCCAGAGGCGTCGCCTTGAGAATTTTGTAATAAGTTTCTAATAACGGGATAATATAAAAATTATAGTGATAGTAGTAAAAATAATAATAATTATTATAATAATATCAACAATGATAACAACAATAATATTAATTATTGAGTGTGTATGGAACCCCATAATTTGCTCAAATTATTACAACATGTTCGATAACCCAAATATTCACTAAATGAAAGCGAATAAAGAGAGCAATTTTGAAGTTGAGTAACTGAGAGTTTATAAAATCTTACTGTAAAAATTTACTCAGTAAGAATTATCCAGTAACATCAGCTGAATGAAAAAATCTGTTTTATGATCGATGCAGAAACAAATTTACGAATTTCAGGAAATAATTTAATTATTTTTCGAAAACATTCAACATTATATCATACCACCTGAAACAACTGTTGTCTTGGTAGATTTTTCTGAATGTTGTTCGATAATTTTGAGTGATTTGGTAAGGTTATCTTACATAACTATTGCTATTCCACAATTTTTTTCGATATCATAAATAGAAAATCGGTTATCGTAGTAAAAACTTTTAAACTCTGGCAGTTCGGGAACCTACTATATTATTATTAAATATGTACGATAACCCCAATATTTGTATATATTATACAACATGTTGTTCGATAACCCAATGCCCAGTAAATGAGTGTGAGATCGGGAATAAAATTTATATAACTGAGAGTTTTGAAATTCTCAACGACCTTTCCCCATTGAAGAGTAATATCTTTACCATATTTCCCATAATAAAATATACGTCCACGCCCCTGTTTTTGATTATCATTTTCAAAATAAAACAATAACTTTATTGCTTCTGTAAGTAAATGATTTGAGAACACTTGAACCTGTTTCCACTCTTTTTTAATTGATTTGGATTTTGATACCTACAGTTACTATGGGATACGAGGTCGGTTCTTATACTCTCCACCAAAAGAGGGACCTTATAAAACCCTATTTCAGGTTTTTGTAGAAGGAGTTTTTTACGTTGTCAATTCCTTTGATTATACCTCAACTAAATGATTTATCTTTGCAAAATGCTTAATTTATGTGTCAGTATAAAGTAGGCATAATGTAAATATATTTTTGATCAGCATAATATATCAGGTCGATATTCCCAATATAACATATATTGTATTACATAAACTCGAAAAAAATATTCAATATGGGTCCACTTTGTGTTAAAGCCCTCATGTAACGGCACCTCCTTATTTTTGGGTTTTTTGAAGGCATGGGCTCGATTTTCAACCACATCAGTCAGCTGTAATTTGATATCTCGGGCTCTCAGTGCTTTTCGCTTCCACTTTTTAGGGATTTTTAGGTTAGGCTATTTTTTTTTTTAAATTTTCGCTTAGTAGAAGTCACAAGAAGAGCGGTCCTGCTGTCCTTGTTGCTATTTTCTCTTATTCAGCGTTTTTCAAGAGTGAGAGAGTGCGTTTTTTATACGGCTGGCTTCTTTGGAAAAGAAGAAAGGAGAGTAGGGCCAAAATCGAACTAAGTCAACCTAAAACGCCTTTGTTCCTCTACGAAGATCCAGCCGATAACAAGGAGTTGCTAAATACACAAGTAAAGTACATATAATGGTAGAAGAATACAGGTAAAGGCTGAGATAAAAAAAACTGCATCAAAGTCGAACTTCATCATTTTTACATTTTGTTGAATGAAAGCAAAAAATGTCGGAAATAGCATTCAATTTTAAAATAAGTTTAGATTTGTCCGAATTGGTCAACTTTGGCACAAATTATGGTCTTCAAACGGCCAATGAAACCGACACACTCTTCCCGAATCTTGATCTACGGTATTTTGGTCCATTCCCGGCGAAGCGCTTGCTTGAGGTGATCGACACTTTGGTATTTTTTGGTTCCAAGCTTGCTTCCCAAAATACTCCAGACATAATAGTCCAACGGATTGGTATACGGAGATTTTGGTGGCCGTTGCACACTGGAAATGACGCGATGAACCTTATTTTGTAACCATTCGGCCAAAATGTTTGCATGCTCTAATACACCCTTCAGAATATTTTCGCGATTATATTCGGCATTTATTCTGATGCCACGATCCATTAATACAAGCGGAGAGCCACCATCGGCTGTTATGGCGGCCCAAACCATCAGCAACTCTAGCTCTTTTGAGTCTATTTTCTTTCTGTTGCGGTGTAAGTTCTTCCACTTTTTGGAATTTTAATTGCTTTGCCCCGAGCTCATTTTTCAATATTTGCCGAATGGAATATTGCGATATGTTCAGCTCACGAGTCATTTTTCGGCCACTGCAACGCGGGTTTCGATCAAGTCGCTTCTTTACTTTTTGAACCATTTCTGCAGATGTTGTTGTTTTCTTCCATACACTTCCTTGGCGTCGGGCTACGCTACCAGTATCACGGTAACGAGCGATATAAATTTACATAATGAAGTGTCTCTGGAATGATTTTAACAGCTGTCGGACGAGTGGCTTGGAATTGACAGCTTTCTAATGTTGGTTGCAGTTTTTTCTTCTCACCCTGTACGTGATAGCAAGAATTATAAGTCATATGTAAAATTACAATAATAAAAGTGACAGTAGTCCAGAAAGAAAGAATTTTGCAGAAGAAGGAAAATTGCAAGTGACAGAAAGAGAAAAAATTGTCTCTCAAAATTTTCTCTTCATTTTTTAGTTTGTCTCTTGACTCTTGGAAAAATCTACAAAGAAGGTGAAAAATGCACAATTCATTAAGAAAATAGTTCATAAATATCCTATATTATTCTGTAAAAATATTCTCAAAAATCGACGATAAATCCTAAATACTCTTCCCTTTTTGTTTTAAATATTAAATATTTTTTTTTATCTAAATTATACACTCGATTACACCAATGTAAAATTAAAGGTGAGAGTCCTTTTTTGACTGGCTTAAGTCATCGGCTTGCTTCTTCGTAAAAGAACAAGGGAGCTATAGGTTGACTTAGTTCAATTTCGGCCCATAATTTATAATTGTTAACCCTAAAGGTGAGAATGCATTAAACGCTTTTTTTGACTGGCTTAAATCATTGACTGGTTCCCTTGGAAAAGAACAAAGGAGCATATGGCCAAAATCGAACTAAGTCAACCTGAAACTAATTTGTTCTTCTACGCCAGCCGATGACTTAAGTCAGTCGAAAAAGCGTCTTATATATTCTCACCTCAAGCTCCTTTGTTCTTTTCGAGAAGCCAGCCGATGAATGAAACCAGTCGAAAAACGTTTAATGTATTCTCACCTTAATGAGGTAACATCATGCAATCATATAGTTGCAATTTATTTTTTTAAATATACATTTCATTGTCGAATAACACAGTGAAGTTAAATTTGACAAGCTAAATTACAGAAAATTCAACAGCTGGATATTATTTGAAATAAAGTTACGTTGATTTCATTACACGATGGATTATACCTTTATACCTTTAAAAATGTTCTTTAACCCCATAAATATTCATTGGAAATTTGGAAATAAAACTTCTCGATTATTCCTTTGAAACATATTTTTTAAAAATCAAAGATTTTTCGAAAAAAAAATTCTTTAAAAATAATACTAAAAAATATTGGATATTCGTTAAGATATATTCTTAAATCCACGATTATTAAGAGAAAAAAAATCATAAGATTTTCAATACTTTTTCATAATCTCAATTTCAGTTTATTTTGTTTTCGATTTTTTATTAACACTTTTCGCGTTCTTTTTCATTGCCTTATCCTTGGGCTTGACCTTGGAGTCCGTTTCCACTTTAGATTCCCTATAGGTACCATGGAGTTTGTCCAACCAACCAAACATGCCATAGTTGTAATTGAATCTAAAAAATATTACAAAATAATAATAACAAGTATGAAATCAAATGAAAATAAGAAAAAAACATTTAAAAATAAAACTCACTTTGAATGATGCAAGTCATGATAACGTATCGAAGAACCCGAACGTGGAAATGAATAACCCGAATGATCAGCCATTGAATTCAATATGGCCAATGTCAGGAACAACCAGACGGTAAAGACATGTGATCGCACCAAGGCAAAGGATAGAGATACTGGAATCAAATTTAAAAATATATGCTCCAATGGATGACAATAGAAGGTAATGGCAGCAATGGGCGCAGTCCATTCGTGATGTTTCTTGTGAACATATTTATAAATGGATTTGTGATGCATCAACCGGTGAATGTAGTAGAAATAGAATTCTTCCAAAATGGACACCACAACAATGTCGAAAAGAACTTTTTGCAATGTCGGCAATTCACGGATAGGCGTTGTGTTGCAACGCACCTTGAAGAGAGTGTGATAGAGGACGAAATACATTGGAATGCCAACGACAGTTTGATTCATCAAGACGTTGAGAATGCCCTGTGGGAAAAAGAAAATCAAATTTAATTAAATTCGACTTCACCGACATAAGTTGCAGTTATATAAAGACCTTTTTTACTGACTTAAAGGTGAGAATACATAAAACACTTTTTTTGACTGGTTTCGGCTTTCTTCTTCGGAAAAGAACAAAGAAACGTAGGGACAAAAACGAACTCAGTCAACCTAAAACTCCTTTGTTCCTTTACGAAGAAGCCAGCCAATGACTTGAGCCAATCAAAAAAGGCTTTTATGTACTCTCACCTTAAGTCATCAACAGGCTTCTTCGTAAATGAACAACCAAGAACAAAGGAATGTAGATTGAAAAATTATAAATTATGGACCAAAATCGATCTAAGTCAACCTACAACTTCTTTGTTCTTTTATAAAGAGGCCAGCCGATGACTTAGGGTGGAAATACACAGAGCGCATATAGTTCGATTTTGGCTCTGCGCTTCTTTGTTCTTTTCCGAAGAAGCCAGCGGATGACTTAAACCAGTCAAAAAGCTTTTTATGTATTCTCACCTTTAGCCCCCGATTATTTTCTTCGGTTATTACATGGTAGAAGAAAACATGTAGATGCATCAACCTATGAAAACATTGATATGTCAAAAATTTTAAATGTTTTTTTTTTTAATTTAAGTAGATTTTTATCTGTTTTTTTATACGACGTCAATCGGATGTTTGCAAATTTGAATAATTTTTCATTAAAAATTTTCAATTCCAAAATTGGTTTGACAGTTCATTGTCCCATCAGCTGTGTCAATGCGCCTAACTGTTTCTTCTACCATGGATTATTGTTCTGTTAATTCATGGTAAAATTAAGAAGATAAAGTCATCAAGGCATGTCATTTAATTAAAACCTTTACGTGGGTTAACCCTGATAATTTACTAAGCACAATAAATTTAAAGTATGTTTTCTATAGTCATATTTATTGTGATTGGCCAATTTCAAGTATTAACCCGGGTAGAGCTTTAAATGTGTAAGTACATAAAGAGCCTTTTTACTGGTTAAGTTATCGGCTGATATCTTCATAGATGAACATAGGAGTGTTAGGTTGACTTAGTTCAATTTCGGTCCATAATTTGTACTTGCTCACCCTACTCTCCTTTTTCTTTTACGAAGAAGCCAGCCGATGACTTAAGCCAGTAAAAAACTTCTATGTATTCTTAGCTTAAGTATGCATTTTCCTTGTCAAACTTCAGTGAATAAAAATCAGGTTCCCATCCCTACAATGGATTTATAAATATAAATTTTGACAATGAGATGTCAAATGAATAATTTTGAAAAAATGTAAACATATGATTGCATGACTTTACCTTCTTAATTCTACCATGGGTTTTTTAAAAGACCTTTTTATTAATGTAATGATATCACCGACCTCTATTAGTCTCTTCGTTTCGACCGGTTCATTTTTCTGCGGCTGAATTTTATATTTTCGTACAGATTTCGGCTTCAACGTAACATCCATAAAGGTATACCAACTTGCATTAAGCCAGTATACCAGCATAAATATTGCTGTCGTGCCGAAGACCCAAACGATTTGGGGATCATCACCTGCTAAAAAAAAATCGTTATATCTTAAAATTCTTTATAAAATATGCAGCATTACCTACCTATAATGTCGATTACATTGTTCCACTTCTTTTCCAAAACATATCCCACATAGTGATATTTATCAGCTATGTGATTGAGAATTTGACCGGCGTTCATGTTGCGATTAAAACTAAAATATCTGAACTTTGGGTGTATTTTTATTTTTTTCGAAAAAGAACAACAACAACAACACTTTTCGGCATACTATCAGAAATATGTGAAGCTTATCGGTGACAATAAAAACAATTGCATATTGATAATGTTTATAAACAAAGTGTTGTTGTACATTTCGAAATAACCTTATCGAAGTTGTTCAATATTCAAACGATTATGGGTTAATGTGAGAATACATAGAACGCTTTTTTAACTCATCGGATGGATTCTTCGAAAAAAAAAACAAAAGGGCGTGGGGCGAAAATCGATCTAAGTCAACCTAAAACTCCTTTCTTCCTCTACGAAGAAGCCAGCCGATACCTTAAGCCTGTCAAAAAACAGCGTTCTATGTATTGTCATCTTTACATACAAAATCTAGCCCCGGGTTGACTTAGTTCGATTTTGGCCTTACTCTCTTTTGTTCTTTCCGAAGAAGCCAGCCGATGACATAAGACAGTCAAAAAAGGAGTTTAATGTATTCTCATAGCATTAAGGGTGGAAACACATAAAGCGCATATTTGGCTGGCTTAAGTCATCGGCTGGCTTCTTCGTAAGTGAACAAAGGAGTTTTAGGTTGACTTAGTTCGATTTTGGTCCCAGGCTCCATTGTTCATTTCCAAAGAAGCCAGCCGACTTAAGCCAGCCAAATATGCGCTTTATGTATTCTCATAGCTTTAAGTCATCTGCTGGCATCAAACCATGGTAGAAGAATATAGATAGAGGCATCAGGACAGCTGTTGGGACGATGAAATGTAAAACCAATTTTGGAATTGAAAATGTTGAATGAAAAATTATTTAAATTTACAAAAATTGTTGAAAAACACCTATTATAATAACCTCCGAATGACATTGTATAAGAAAACATATAAAAATCGACCTATATTTGAAAAGACATTTAACATTTTTTATACCCTCCACCATAGTATAGAAGGTATATTTTAGACCTCACAAAGTATAAAAGCATAAAATTCTATGTCGATTTAGCGTTGTCCGTCCATCCGTCTGTGGAAATAACTCCAGCTTCCGAACGAATTGAAGTAGATTGATAAAATGTTACTCAAATATATATATTATGTCTGCAGGACTTTTGGTATTAAAAATGGGCCATGTAGGGCCACGTTCTGGTATAGCCCCATATAACGGTACCTACCGATATTCGGTATTTTGATGATTTTAGCGAGATTATTCACCCGAATTGTTTCAAATTTGGTATTTGAAGTTCATAATGGATACTACAGCCTAAGACAGAAAATTGTCTGCGCAGGTCCACGTCTTCGTATAGCCCCCATATAACGCTACCTCCAGATATTCGGTATTTTGGTGATTTTAGCGACATTATTCACCGGAATTGTTTTAAATTTGGTATTTGATGTTCGTAATGTATGCTACAGCCTAGGACAGAACATTGTCTCCGCATAGCCACCATATAACGGTACCTCCCGATATTCGTTATTTTGGTGATTTTAGCGACATTATTCACCGGAATTGTTTCAAATTTGGTATTTGAAGTTCGAAATAGATACTACAGCCTAAGACAGAAAATTGTCTGTGCAGGTCCACGTCCTTGTATAGCCCCCGTGTAACGATACCTCCATATTTTCGGTATTTTATGGCTCGATTATGCATTGCCACCAAACTTGGGTGGCGTTATCAGTTGTAAGCGCGACTGAAATAAAATGTTGTATTATAGAAGGTAACCCAATTGAGTTGTCGATAAACGTGTTATCGATCAGTGTATTTTCCATCTTGTGAACTCTAAACTTCAAAAATGTCAATAAATTCGAAATAACAAAACACAATTTAAACAATAAAAGAATTTTAAAATGATAAGTTCAGTGGAATTATTTTTTGATGAAGAAGAAAATGTTCAGGACGTTGCATCTCTCTACATTTGGGTAGCAGTTTCTTCTTGCTCCACCTCAACATTTGACACTATTTCTATCCCATCTTCATCCCATGTCTCCATTACTTCGTAAATGGCACCTACATGATCTGTTATTAAATTTATTTGTTTGCTCCAACGGCGATAGACGCACTTCTTGTGATGGACCCCCACCTGTGGCGTTAAGATTTCTTTTATTTTGCGACATTTTCTTCTTAAGCTTAGCTTTAAAATGGATCCATACTCTCTGCCCCTCTTCTGGTGTCTTTGTTGGTGGACCATGACTGTTTAGGTTGTCGGAAATTTTCTTCCACGCTTCATCTACAGTGGCTTTGGTTTCACCAAAGACACGGATTCCTCGAGCTAAGTTTGGATTAGCACCCATTTTTTCTATAAGTATTTCGAACTGATGTTTTGTTGTTACTTTCACCATATTTAATCTAAAATGATATGCAAAATGATTTAGTGAAGCTAAAAAATCAATTATTGTTAAAGAAATGTGTATTTACCTCTCAATTTTACTTTTTCTTCTTTGAAAACGTTCACTGCAACTGCAAATAGATGATTGATGCCGCTGTAGCAACTGAAATTCGCAACTTCAGTTGAAAGTTGCCATACATAATGCAATTTTCGCAACGCCACTTAACGATAGTTGTTATCGATAATCGGGCCATTAATGATCTTAGCGACATTATTCACCGGAATTGTTTCAAATATTGTATTTGATGTTCGTAAAGGATGCTACAGCCTATGACAGGGGATTGTCTGTGCAGGTCCACGTCTTCGCATAGCCCCCATATAACGGTACCTCCAGATATTCGGTATTTTAATGATTTTAGCGACACTATTCAACGGAATTGTTTCAAATTTGGTATTTGAAGTTCGCAATGAATCCCCTACCATTTACTTTAATACAAACATATTCACACACGCATTTTTACATACATAAGTATTTATGAATCCCTTTATTAAATCCTGGGTTTTCATATGCATTTTATAAAATGTGTTGTTGTTTTTCTACTCTCAATATTACAGATTTGTAGTTATTTTCACCACTTAAAAACTAAGTTTAAACTAAATCGTAAAGAAATTGTGAAACTTGTCATTATCGAATTCCGTTATAGTGTCATAATTCTGACACCGAAATTCCAATTGTCACAATTCTTACACAGAATACCCCAATGCTACTCACTCTTAAACTAAACTAAAAAAAAATAAACACAAAACTTATATGAATTTTGTTGTTAAAGCTTTTCTTTACAATCTGAGACCTCCCTCTGCCACCTGTGTTGGGGGGGAGGGGACTGCATTCAGGATCTTCATCTGTCATTCATGTTCATTTCGTTGTTGAGTCGGGAAATGCTTCACGCGGTGGTACAAAACTCAACATCATTAAATGACGGGCATAGGATTTTGAGGCTCTAAACAAGCTGTCCGTACCATGTAAACGATCCAAAACACCCAGGACTCCAAAGCAATTATTGAATCTGGAAAAAGGGAAAACATATTATTTAAAATATATAAACATACCCGTAATACACTTTAAGGTGAGAATACATAAAACGCTCTTTTGACTGTCTTTTGTCATCTTCGTAGACGAACAAAGGAGTTTTAGGTTGATTTAGTTCGATTTTGGCCCTACGCTATTTTATTCTTTTCTGAAGAAACCAGCGAGTAAAAAAGCGTTTTATGTATTCTTACCTTTACTTACTTCAAATGATGAAAATCATGGGCCTCGGGACTGGGAAAGAATGGCAAATGATAGCCCGAATGGGCATTCAATGTCGACAATATGGCCAAGGCAAACCACATCCATGCCGTGGCCACATGGCAACCCATAATGAAGACCCCCAAAAAGGGTGGCAATAAATTACTGAAAATATGTTCGATGGGATGACAGTAGAGCGCTGTCACCGCAATTGGTGCGGTCCATTCATGATGCTGCTTGTGTATAAATTTATAGATATTCTTGTGATGCAGCAGTCGATGTGAGTAATAGAATCCCAGCTCTTCCATGAGAATACATATTGTCAGCTCAACACAAACCCAATGAAATGTGGGCAATTCACGTATTGGGGTAAGGCCCCGCAGTTGCATTAATTTGTACGACAGCACCGAAATGGGTACACCGACACAAACTTGATTCGTCACCACTTTCGATATGACCTGCAATGCACGCAAAATTAAAGAGACAATGACATTCAAATTACCAATGACTGAGAAAAAGATTTAATTTGGTACGGGAACATTAGGGTGTGACAAATATGATATCCTGCTATTAGTCGATAAGGGTTTTACATATGTAGTGTTAAATTTTCCATATGTAGAAGTTCTACACATCGTATGATACATTGACGATATTTCAGATGTGAAATACATGAGTAAAGATCATATGTACTTTTTCGATTATAGCGAGCCCTATTTTTCTCGGAAAAATATATCCTTTGTTCCAGTACCTGTAAGAATCTACTTGTTTTGCAATTTTTTTCGATATCATAAAGAGAACATCGGTTATCGTAGTAAACGTACATTCTTGCAGTTCTGGAACATACCAATAATTTATTCAAAAGTGTTGCTTCTTTTTTGTGTGAAAATTTAAAAAATTGAATTTGAGGTAAAAATTTATCCATTTTTTTTAGAAAGGGCAATATAATCAGAACGAAAACAAACAAAATAACAAAATATATGTAAGTGTGTGATAGTTAGAATTTTAACATATCTTGTTAGTTTTTACTACGATAACCGATTATCCCTGGAAATCTTCTTCTTGAACAGAAAAAAAAAGTACAACTTAAATTTAGTTGCTGATAAAGATCGAATATCGATTTTTAGCACCTTGGCAATCACCGAATCTGGAATAGAGCATAAATCCATGTTTATTTTATATTTTTTAGGGTTAACCTGCCTTAAGAGTATCTATTTGAAGTACAAGTAATGGATATGACAATTTCAATCCAATTCCCGTTGGTTAACCCAATTATATGTAAACATACTGTAAAAAGTCTTCAGCCTAGGGATACTTAAGTCGATTTTTAAAATCACAAATTCGGATTACAGGTTCTTGCATTTCGTTTTCTTACGAGCCAAAACAACTGCGACGATTACATGTTTTTAGCTAAAATATATTGCCCATCACTATTATTCTATTACTTGATTCTCTATTATAGTACGTTTACGCTGTAAAGGATTTATATAACCCAGTAGGTTTAAATTGTCAATTCCATTTCACATACATCAAATAAATCTTCATAAACTGCCATTAGTTGGGTTTGTACATATAAACTAACTTCAGCAGCATTTATATCCTCTCATGGGTGTATGCATGGTAAAATAATGAAGGTAAAGCTATGCAATCATATGTTTACAATTTTTTTCAAAATTATTCATTTGACAACATCGATTGTATACACACAAATCAGAGATGGGAACCTGTTTTTATGCAGTGACATTTGACAAGGTAAGTTACAGAAAATGCAGAGATGGGAATGCTTATTAGAAATAAGTTTACCTTCATCATTTTACCATGGGTGTATGTAAACAAACAAGGTTAACCCACTAGATCTATTAACCCCTTTTGTAAAATGGCGTTTACACATGACAAATTGTCTTGAATCAGAGTTATTTTTTACTATACAAGCGAATAAGGGGGCAGATAATAAACAAAAATATTTTATTTGTTTCAAAAACTGCAAGAATGTAAAATTTGTTAGGTACTATAAACGATTTTTTCCCTTTTGATATAACAAAAATCAAAAATAGGAGATTCTTGTTTTGGATCAGAGCTATGATATATTAATGTAGAAATTTTTTCGATATCATAAAGGAAAAATCGGTTATCGTTGTAAAATTTTTAGCCGCATGCAGGAACAGAACCTGGCTTCTTCCTAGAGGAACAAAGGAGTTTTAGGTTGACGTAGTTCGATTTTGGCCCCAGGCTCTTTTGTTATTTTTCGAAAAAGCCAACCGATGACTTAAGCCAGTCAAAAAAAGCTATTTATGTACTTCCAACTTAAAGGTGCAAGCACATGAAGAGCTTTTTTGACTGGAAAAGAAGTGATAGGCCGAAACTCAACTAAATCAACCTAAGACTTCTTTGTTCCTCTACGAAGAAGCCAGCCGATGACCTAAGCCAGTCAGAGAAGCGTTTTATGTATTCTCACCTTAACTTTGGACAATTAATACATGAACTCTATTGTATTGTTCAATTTGAAAACAGGGTAAGAAGATGCCGTAGAATGCCCGATTCGATTGGACAAAATCGATGGGTCAAAAGCTGTTTTTTTGCTGAAGACAAAATTCGAAATGTCTAATAGATGTCATTTGTTATCGACTAAAGGTGATAACACATAAAACTTTTTTTTGACTGGCTTAAGTTATCGGCTTTCTTCTTCGTAAAAGAATAAAGGAGTTTTATATTGACTTAGTTCAATTTTGGCCCATATTTTATACTAGCTCTCCCTACGCTCTTTTATTCATTGACGAAGAAGCCAGCCGATGACTTAGCCAATAAAAAAACCTCTTTATGTACCTGCAGAAAGCATTAACCTGCTTTCTGTTGGATTTCGTTAACTCGATTCAGCCATCACTTGACCGATCGATTTTTAGTCTAAGTAGAGAATGAAAGACACTTCTTTCAATTATATTTTGCTTTTTTCTAAGGTATTCCAATGTTTCTCAATCAAGACAAACCACCACACCCTAATATACACGTGTCTATAAATACACCAAGTTCATTGCCACAATTAAGTCTAATAAAACAAACAGAAAGAAAGCGTGTCATAGTCGAGTAAACTTAACCTTTAGTAGTCTGGCACGTTCGACGGGTTCATTTGTACCCGGCTGAATTTTATATTTACGCAAAAATGCCGGGCAATTTGTGAGATCCATAAATGTGTAGAAACCACCGAACATCCAATACACCAGCATGGTGAATATATTTGTACCGAATACCCAAAACATAAAGGGATCATCACCTGAAAAAAAAGGAAGACAGTGAATATTATTAGAATGCATATGGATTAGGAAGTTTGGTTTAAAATAAAAATATATATTATTATTTGTTTTGAAAAAAGAGTTATTTTAAAGAGAGTAACGGTCATGCAACTTATTTTCTCTCTCTCAGTTTATGGAACGCATATTTATAAATGGTATTCTAAGAACCTGTTTTTATACCCATCGATCTAGTCAACATAGCAGAAGTAAGAAAAGTAAATCGTTTTTTATTCGTTTATGTCCGAAACTTAAAAAGAAGCGTAAGAATAAACGCTTAAACATAAATAATAGGTATGTACAATAGCAAAATATTTTGCCAAAAGTACAGTAAATGAGAAAGAGAAAAGAGAGCATTTTTGACAGTTGAGTTATTGAGAGTTTGCTAAATTTTATTGGAAAAATTTATTCATTAACAACACTGATTGAAAACAAATGCTTTATGACCGATGCACAAATGCTTTAAAATTTCAGGTCATACATTACATATTTTAATTATTTTTCAAATTATACCATTAAATAACTATTTTTTTTTTTCTCCAAAAAAATTCAATTTTTATTCCATTTTATCCATATATCATTTTCTATACCAATGATGATTTCAAATGATTTTTAAAAGACGGAAATAAGACAAGAAATTCCCAAAATCGACACTATGTTGGGGTCGTCCAGTAAAGTAATTAAAGCGTTTGCTTCCGTCTATTGGAAAATTTATTAGATTGCCCTATTAATTTTTTCTTCAAGCAGCTTCCATAAAATCGTATTCCTTTAAATAAATATTATCGCTTTAGTTTTGTATAATCCTTTTGATTTATTAGATGCCTCTTACAGCTCTTTGTTTACCCAATCAATTGTTATGGTTTCGCTTTAATAACTAATATAAACCTAAGCAGATGTAATTATTTATTACCAATGATAATTGGCCTTCTATAAAACGATTGAAGTTTACTGTGACCATTAAATCTGTTTCCAAGTGACTTCCAAGTGTGATGTGATTTTTTAACCTAACGTTTACACATGACAAATTATATTGAATTAGAGTTGTATTTTCCTACCACTGCCACACAATGGCATTTTTTGACACAACAAATGAATGGGAAATCAAAAATGAATTTTTCGAAAAAAAAAAGGCGAACAAGTTTACAGAAAATAAACAAAATAGAAGCTTTACATTGAAGATTTGATTTATGTTTTAACACTAGGCCTACGTCATAAGGACAGATAATTGATAATTAATATATTAACTTCATTGTCCTGTATTTTGTAGACGCAGGGTAAATAGTAACGACATAATTAACGACTATTATCGATAACTGCACTTTTTTGATTGGTTAATGTCATGTCGACGTTAGAACTATTTGCAGGGTTAACCTACTATAAAAGGATTTATTTGAAGTATAAGTAATGGATATGACAATTTTAACCCAAATCCAGTGGGCAAACCCCTTTATATGTACACGTACTGTAAGGCTCTATCAGACGTTATGTTTTTTTTACATATGTAATGTCAAATTTTCCCTACGTACATACCATGGTAGAAGAATACAGTTAGTCGCATCAACACAGCTGCTTGGACAATGAGTTGTCAAACCAATTTTGGAATTAACATTTTTGAATGAAAAATTATCCAAATTTGCAAAAATTGTTAAAAATGCTTATCATAACAACCTCCAAACATATAAAAATCTACTTATTTTTGAAGAAACATTGACAATGTTTTGACATTTCATTGATCCCAAGCTTTGATGCATCTGTCTGTATTGTTCTTCCATAAAAACTAATAGGAATGTAAAAAAGTTACTGCGATAAACGATTTTCTTTTATGATATCGAAAAAAATTCGAAAAAAATAGCAGATTCTTTCAGATTCTGGGACAGAGCATATCTTTCTTTCCGAAAAATATTTGGCCTAAATTTTTTTAACTAAATACTTATCTATGGTGAAATGACTTATTCGATCAGAAAAGTTACAGGGTGAGAAAAAAATCTGCAAAAAAGTCAAACGCCATAATTTTTACATTTTTTAAATATTATGGAATGAGAGCATAATATTTCGGAAATAGTATCAAATTTTAGAATAAGTTTAGATTTGTTCGATTTGGTCACCTCTGGCCCGAATTATGGTCTTCAAACGGCCAATGAAACCGTCACACCTTGCCTGAATGTTGTTCTTTGGCATTTTGACCCATTTCCGGCGAAGTGCTTGCTTGAGGTGATCGACACTGGTATTTTTTGTGCCAACCTTGCTTTTCAAAATACTGCAGACACAATACTCCAACGGATTGGTATCCGGAGATTTTGGTGGCCATTGTGCGCTGGAAATGAAGCAAGGAACCTCATTTAGTAACCATTCTTGGGTGGCGCGTGCTGAGTGCGATGGTGCCTGTTAGAATGTCCAAGGTCTGCGGCTAAAATGTTTGCGTGTCCAAGGCTTTAACACGCCCTCCAGAATATTTTCGCTTTAATATTCGGCATTTATTCTGCTGCCACGGTCGATTAATACGAGCGGAGAGCGACCATCGGCCGACGCTTAAATTCTGGTAGCCAACCGAAGATGCACATTTTCAGCTGACCTCTTTGGCAAGTAAACACGATCATTTTGTTTGTTTACAAACTGCTGGACAACGAGTGTTTTCTCATCGGAGAAAACCAAATTCGACAGTTCACTACATTTGGCCAAGCGAAGCAACTCTTTAGCACTTTTGATTCTATTTTCTTTCTGTTGCGGTGTAAGATCTTGCACTTTTTGGAATCTCAATGGCTTTTACTTGAGCTCATTTTTCAATATTTGCCGAATGGAATATTGCGATATGTTCAGCTCACGAGCCATTTTTCGGCCTCTGCGATGCGGGTTTCGTCAGGTCGATTCTTTACTTTTCGAACCATTTCTGCTGATGTTGCTGTTTTCTTCTGTCCAATTCCTTGACGTAAGGCTTCGCTACCAGTATCACGGTAACGAGCGATAGTACGAGACACAAAAGATTTATTCACATTTAAATGCTGGAGTTCTCTAACGATAGCCACTTGTGGTTTTCCAGCCAAATATGAAGAAATCTAACTATCACGCTTGAAGTCCATAACGATTAACTTTTTTCTGGAAAATTCTCAGAAAAATGGTTTTGTACGCTTGTAAACAATATAATGAGCTGTCACTGGAATAATTTTAACAGCTGTCGATGAGTGGCTTGGAAATGACAGCAGTCTGAAGTTGGTTGCAGTTCATCTCACCCCGTATGATCATTTTGCGAATAACGAATAGCGAGTAAGTCATGTACCATGCGAACATGGTATAAGGAGAACAATTGTCTGAAACCTGAGTTGTATTTTACTACTGCATACGCACTAGCACGACCATTTTCGTCACTGTCAAACACTGTATTGAACGACAGTAAATTGTAAAAATTTTTGACATGATCGACAGGAAAACAATAAAATCATTAACAAATTTGCAATTTTCGGGACGCCATAGCCAAAAAGACAAAATTTGCAATTTTGACAATTAAAGAATAGCAATTCTATTCATTTTTTGTTCATTGGAATTAATGAATAAAATAGCATATTGTTAAAGGTTACAGAATAGGCCTAACTGAAAATATGGTAACCTCACTCTAAAAATGGGAACACATACAGCACTTATTTGACTGGCTTAAGTCATCGGTTGGCTTCTTCGTAGATGAACAAAGGAGTTTTAGGTTGACTTTTGGTCATAGGCTGCTTTCTTCATTTCCGAAGAAGCCAGCCGATGACTTAAGCTAGTCAGATAAGCGCTTTATGCATTCCCACCTTAACACATGATATACAAAGTTTTCATACGTTCTGTTCCAGATCCTGCTACAATTTATTTATTTTGCAATTATTTTAATATGTTCCAGTACCTTTAAGAATTTACCAGTTGTGCAATTTTTTTGATATCATAAAGGAAAAATCGGTTATCGTAGTAACAACATTTACAGTTCTGCAACAGAGCATATATCGTCAAGAAAAAATGTATTAATCTGTTCCAGAACTGTAAGATATAACAATTCTCAGTTTATTTGTAGAAAGATTGTTGCGAGTGATTGCCTCCATTTTCCTCTCTTCTCTTGCCACACACTGACTCTTACTGCAATTATAATTGCTCAATCTGAATCAATAGAATCTCCTATGGAAACTTCCATATGCAACAAAATGCAGTAATACTAATTAAAGATAACAATGCTTTGTTTATTTTTCGCATTACTATGGCATTTCTCTTTTTCTTCATTTTTTTTAGAACGCTAAAAACACAAAATTAAAAAAATAATATCAGAGTAAATCACTCACCTGTGACATCAATGAATTTGTCCCATTGAGCTTGCCAAAAGTCTCCTGAGGCACCCCAGAAGCTCTGTAAATGCCTGGCGGGAATCAAGGGAAAATAGTCCATTATTAACTTTTCCATTTTGTGAGAGAGCAAAATATAGCGTGTATGTGTGTGGATGTAAATTTGTTTACCAACGATATAAACAAACAATTGAACAATTTAGTGATTTTGCTTTTGCTTGGTGTTGCTTTCTTTGTTATGATTTTGTTATTCTCAATACATTTATATAATGGTTAAATTCGCATTTTCATTTCGTATAAAATATACAAAAATTAGATATTCAATTGCAATTGCTATTTTAAATTCGCAAATCAAATTTTGCGTTAGAGTTTCGATTTTTTATTTATTTATTTTTGTTTTGTTTTTTTTGTTTAAGTTCAGATCCCGCCGGTTACAAGGTATTTTTCGCTGCCCACTACCATCCGTTGAGATCACTTGAGAGCGACTGAAAAGCGTCAGAATTTTTTTCCATTCTACGATTGAACGAATATTGTTGAATAACTCAGGTTCCCGTTGTCCCAGTGGAGAAATTTGTTTGTGTCATTGTATCCAACAGATTGCCAGACAGAGAGTAACAAAACTGGAATTGTTTTGAGTGGAAATTGAGTACAATTGACTCTCTACTGTTGATCAACGAATTTGCAAAAAAAAAGTCAAAGAGTAGGAAGGGTTATCGGAGCGACTTTTAAGCTACATTCATATGGGTTAGGAATATTAGCAATTGTAGTTATTCTTAGAATGAATACCATGCATGTTAGAAAAATACAGGTAGATGCATCAACGCTTGGGAACATTGATATGTCAACAATTTTTAAATGTTTTTTTCAAATATAAGTAGATTTTTATGTGTTTTCTTATACGACGTCATTCGGAGGTTATTATAATACGCATTTTTCAACAATTTTTACAAATTTAATAATTTTTCATTCAACAATTTCAATTCCAAAATTTTTTGACAGTTCATTGTCCCAGCAGCTGTGTCGATGCGTCTACCTATATTCTTCTACCATGATATCATGGTAGAATTAAGAAAGTAAACTCATTTTAATTAATCTTATACAGCTCAGCTTTTTCTGTAAATAACCTTTTTTAAATAAAAGTAAATAGAAAACTGGTTTCAATCTCTGATTTGTGTATACACAATGGATTTATAATGTTTTTGGTATTTTTAAGTTAATGTCGACAGTTTTCCGTTAATTTGAATTACAAAGGTGAGAACTCATAATGGTAGAATAATACAAGTAGTCGCATTGAAACAGCTGCTAGGACAATGAAATGTCAAATCAAATTTGGAAATAAAATTTTTTGAAATTCGTAAACAATTTTGAAAAATTCTTATCATAACAACCACCTTTTTTTGTCGTTCAAGAAAACATATACAAATCTACTTACACTTTTTTGACTGGCTTAAAGGTGGGAATACATAAAGCGCTTATTTGGTTGGCTTCTTCATAGAGGAACAAAGGAATATAAGGTTGACTAAGTTCGATTTTGGCCCTAGCCTCCTTTGTTAAGCCAGCCAAATAAGTGCATTATGTATTCCCACCTTAAGTCATCGGCTGGCTTTTTCGTAAAGGAACAAAGCAGTTTTAGGTTGACTTAGCTCGATTTTCAGCCCTCATTTATACTTGTTTGTCCTACGAGTCTTTGTTATTTTCCAAAGAAGCCAGCCGATGACTTGAACCAATCAAAGAAGAGTTTTATGTATTCTCACCTTAAGTCAGAGCCATGGTAGAATTAAGAAGGTAAATCATATGTGTACAGTTTTTTCAAATTTTTTCAATTGTCTCATTGTCTAAATGTATATTTAAAAATCCATTGTTTATCCACAAATCATAGATGGAAACCTGTTTTCTATGCATTAAAATTTGACAAAGTAAATTACAGAAAATGCAGAGATAGATTTGCTTATTTGAACTGAATTTACCTTCTTAATTTTACCATGATATGAGCTCTATAGCTTTCATCTGATCTGTTCCAGTACCTGCAAGAATCTATTATTTTTGCGATTTTCTTCGGTATCATAAAGGGGAAATCGGTTATTGCTTTAAAAAAACTTTTACATTCTTGCAGTTCTGGAGCAGAGCAATTGTGATGCTCCAATATCCAATAAAAATAAAAATTTATTAAAATTGTTGAAAAAATACTTTTTGAGAATGAAATGTCATTGTCATCGGCCAGTTGTCAAAACACTTGATGGGGTTGGAATACCAATCGAAAGATACACATACGGAAAAAATTGACATTTTATCCACTTTTAAAATACATTTTTCTGAAAAAAAAAAAACTAAAAAATAGATGATTGGCAATAAGTTAATTTTTTTGTCAACTGTACGCCCATATCTAAGGAAGAACCATGGTACAATAAAAAGGTAAGGTAGAGCTAACAGCTGATTGCAATTTTTTTCTAAGTGTGCCCGACTTCTGCCATTAAAATTAAATAAAATTAAATTGCATTGTTCATATTAACCATGGAATTGAAGTATTGAACACAAATAAATGAAAACAAAATGATACTACCTCTTTGATTCTACCATGCTTCCAACCATTGCATTGAGAATTTTCAACTAAATTGTCCAATATGAACACAGCGTGCGAGGCAAAGTGTAGCTGTGCGAACATGGTATGTTTATAAGAAATAAACATGGTAGAAGAATATAGGTAGCTGCGTCGACACAGCTGCTTGGACAATGAACTGTCAAACCATTTTTTGAAAATTATTCAACTTTGTAAAACTTAATAAAAAAAGCATATCATTACAACCTGCGATTGGCGTCGTATAGGAAAACATATAACACATAATTTTTGACGTATCAATGGTCCCAAGCGTTGAAGCATCGACCTGTATTCTTCTACCATAGTAATACAAATAAGGCATGTTTACGTTATAGCTTTTTCCGGGTTAAACTTCTTTATGAAGATTTATTTTAGGTATATGAAATGAGATTGACAATTTAATCGATTGGTTTTATTGGTAAAAAAAGCTTTAAGGCCGAAACACATGAGAAGTCGCACATATATAACAAATTCAGTGGATTTCAACTGTCAATTCCATTATATGTATACGTTAAGTGATACCTATTGGATTTGAGAGTCGATTTCATTTCAAAAAATATCGAATGAAATTGACAATTGAAATGTACTTGATTTACAAAGTGTAAACGTGCTTTAAAAGGCCATTTAGCCGATAACGATACTTACCACGTCAGAACATTGCGAAAAACAATGAATATGGCCAGAGCACAGGTGATGATAAATATGACACTGTGCAACGATGATAACCAGCGACGTTTTTTCGGTTCGGTAACCACTGCCGGTCCGAATGCTTCATCAAATGATGACAGAGTAGTGCTGAGATCCAATCCTTTGGTTTTATCCAAAAGAATTTTATCATTTGGATGATGTGGCGGCAGATTAAAGGTTGATGTGGGCATGTACAGTGGCATCTGCGGTTGTTGTTTGGAATCCGTAAAAGGATATGGCGGCGGCGGTGGTGGATGCAGAACCGTATTGTTAGCAGTATTTGATGGATCCATGAGAAATGCATTGGCCGCCATAGATTTTGATGATAGCATTGCTGGTGATGTTGCTGCTGTCGTTGTCGATGACGACGATGATGAAGAGGACGGCGGTGTTGATGATGCCGGTATTGAAGATTGTGCCGTTGACGGCATTTTTATTTGTTGTTTCGAATGACCTTCAGAGTGTGGCATGTTTTTAATTAGGCCGTTCGTTCAGTTGCCAGGTTAAGAATACGGTTTTAAAAGTGTTGCTAAGACGCTCTGCCGTTGTCAAGACACCAAAGTCAATTTGCTGTTGAGAAGGCAGTAATTTTTGAAAATTTTTAAATTTTCACTTGTGACCTTGGCAAGGTGGTCGCCACCTTAGTAAGGAATTCTGAGAAAGTAGATATTTTTCAATCACCTTTGTCGTTGGTTCGTTGAACCTTTTAAAGTAATTAATTATTACTTAACTTTGCTACAACAAATATCTAGTATATTTTTTTCTTTACTGATATCCTTTGGCCTAACTCTAATCGATTTTTCAATGGTTTGTAGATTTACCGTTTAAGACAAGCCTTTATGCATTGGTTTAATGTTTTTAATTTGTATCTGTACAATTAAACATTAAGTTGATTTTTTTTTTAATTTTCTGTTTGTCAAGAAAAGTTTTCTCTTTTATATATTGTTTTGTTTGTTCACTATCAAACCGCTGTCACTTTTGTTATGAACGCTATCCGTATCCTGAATGATTATTGTTATCCTTTGTTGTTTATGTTTAGTTGATGTGTTTGAGAAAGTCATAGCTTTCCAAAGTTTTTCTCACCGGGAGAGCTTTTCTCTCTTGTGATTGTGAACAGATGTTTTATGCACAGCAATACATTAGGTGTGTACGTCAACCCATGGAAGAAGAATTTTCAATTTTAAAATTGGTGCGATGCGACTACCTATATTTTTCTACCATGCGTCAACACAATTTTTTTATAATTTGTGTACCTTTGCGCTGTTCCAGAACTAGCAAGAATCTACTAGTTTTGCAATATTTTCGATATCATAAAGGAAAAGATGGTAACTTGCTATGCTCTATGTAGTTAAATTTGACAAGGTAAGTTACAGAAAAATACAGAGTTGGATATCCTTATTTGAAAAGAACCTTGATAGAAGAATATAGGCAGATGCACCAACGCTTGGAACGTTTTTATGTCAAAAATTTAATTTTTTAATAAGTAGATTTTTATGTGTTTTATTTTAAGAAAGGAGGTTGTTATGATATTTATTTTATGTATATTTTATACATTTACTATTGTTATAATCATTATTGCTCTGCTCCAGAACCTGTAAAGCTGGGAATACATAAAGCGCTTATTGGGCTGGCTTAAGTCATCGGCTGGCTTCTTCGGAAATGAACAAAGGAGCCTAGGGCCAAACTCGAACTAGGTCAACCTAAAACTCCTTTGTTCATCTACGAAGAAGCCAGCCGATGACTTAAGCCAGCCAAATATGCGCTTTATGTATTTCCAGCTTAAGAGTCTACTAGCTTTAATTTCTTAAATTCTTACCGTTCTGGAACAGAGCATTCATTCTATTTCTCTAAACGCCAGGTTATCCGGATAACAATGTAATAAAAATTTTCAGATTTCTCTTTAAATTAAATAGATTAGTCCAGGACCAGCAGGAATCTACTAGTTTTGCAATTTGAACTATTATTTGCCTTATGAACTTCAAATGTTTCAATTTTTCTCAAAACGAAACACAAAAAATGTATTTTTAGTGATACATAAATCGTCTTTCACTGTACCGATAGTGTGTACCCTGTTTCAAAGAAGACAATAATCGATTATTCGATAATAACAAGCAATTGAAAAGTCAAATGGCTGAAAGTCGACTTAACAATCCCTACTCTGACTTTTACTAGCTCAGTTTAATTTTTTAATTCTGTTCGTGAACGCGATAATTTTCCAATTGGAAGTAACTATTTTTGTATATATTGCGATCGATTGTTTCGCAATATAGAAGAGTAATTTTTTTGACAAATAGAACAAATAGAAAAGGAAGCTAAGAGTTTGGAAGGCAAGAAAAACGAATGTGTAAGAGTGCTAATGCAGCAAAAGGAAAATTTATAAGGCAAAAAAGCTATAAATTCAAGTAAATACGCAAAAGTTGAAAATTTTCAAGTATTTTCTTTTCTGTAAAAATCGAAAAAGGAAAGAAAAGCTGTGTGAGTGTGTGTGTGGAAAAAGTGAGAAAAGAAAGAGCAGTAGCAAGGAAGCTAGCAATAGAGCGAAGAGTGATAAATGGGATAAAGGCAAATGACGGATATAATTTTTTTTGTGCCTGACAAAATAAGAAGAAAACAAAAATAAACCGAAAGAGGCAAATAAAAGTGAAATTAAAAATTAATGACAAGTGCAAAAAGTGATAATGTTGCCTACCTAGCCAATATAACCATTGTGCTGGCTTGATTGTGTTTTTGTTGTTATTTCTTTGTTGTTTGTGAATGAGGAGTATGTGGTGAGACATAACCACAAAAATTAAAATCAAAAGTTAATAAAAAATTTGGTATTTTTGTGACGTATGTACTTGCGTTGGCCTATAATGCGTCGACAACAACGATGCCAACGAGGAACAGAGATGATTGTGTGTGCGTTTTTTGGTGAAAAAAGAAAGGAAATTGCAACGCATAAAACAAGAGAAATTAATTTACTTTGATCCAATGTTTGCCGATCATACAACAGCCACACAAAGGCCTATTTCCTTGCCCGATTGCTGTTGTTGTAAAACAAAGGAAATTTTGTGTCTTTAAACTGTGAAATTTTTCCGTTGGCTAGTTGCATGCGCCGCCTATATTTGGTATAATGTGCTGCCTTCTTTCTCCCCCCACCACCCATCTGGTTTCGTCGTTAGTGTAGTATGCAATTGTAAAAGGAGAATAGAGATGCCTTGCTGCATTTACAGAATTGAGAGAAGCCCCTGTCGACTATCTCTCATTTTTTGTTTTGTTTTTTTTATATATCCCCGTTAAGTGCATAGTCACCATACCTACTATATGTAGTATTTTATTCTTGTTTCAACAAAATTGATTAAAAAATCAATTTAATAATGTGATATTTTTGTTTTGTTTGTTTAAAGTGTGTTCTTCGCTAAACGTTTGTGGGTTAATGACAAATTCTCTTGTGTTGTTTGTGGTGCTTAAACAACAAAATAAACGACCACGACGAAACAAAAAGTCACGACCTTCATCATTATATTTCTGTTTGGAAGAACCTGATTTGATATTAACAAACAGCAAAATAAACAAAAAAAACAAACCATATATGAAGTCTGGCAGGTTTTTGTGGATTGACATTGTTGTTGCTATTGTGCTTTGTTCCACGTTTAGTGTAAAAAATTATGCATGTTTTATTTTGTCCACAGTGTGGTACATATTGCAAATGTGATGAATAAAAAGTCTCGAGTGTAGTTAGTGCTGCCCAGCTTGTGTTGTTTTTGTTAATTCTTTCATTTTTCCTCCATCGTGTCTGCTGTTTTTTGTTTTCCTTTTTTGTGTAACAACAGCTGCGCCATCGTTGACGTCAGCTGAGAACTGTTTACTCTCCGTGCCCTGATGAGAAAATAGTGTTAGTGTGTTCGTGTGTGAGTTGAATTGTTAATTTGTAAATAGAGAAAGAAATGAAACAAAATAATGCTAGACATGCAATCCTAAAGTTCTGATGATGTTGACAATTTAAATGTGTGGGAATAGAATAATTTCAAGTAAAGCTATGGAAACTTTTAAAAAAGTTTAAAAACAGTAAGAAGAAACAATCAAATGGCACTCGTCGTGCTTCCTTTTCGTATGCAGTGTACTCCTTGAGATGACAGCAGCTCTCTTTCTCATTTTGTTTTAAGTTGTCAGAAATCAGCTGTTTTCGAGTCGTTATCAAGGAAAAGTATTAACATTCGTTTGATTTTTCGCCAGGATTTCAAGATTTTTTTTTTATTTCTAGGAGTTTGAAACGATGGATTTTGTGCCAGGATTTCAAGAAACTTCTTCAAATTTAGGAATTTGTTTGATTCCATGATTAATCTTTGATTACTTATGGTACCCAATGTGAGGGGAATTGCTATAGGTATTTGCAAAGAAAAGCATTATTTCTTCTTTAATATTCAAAATATTCTCTTCTAGGAAGGCAATATAAAGTATTAAAGGATTTTATAATTCCAAGAAAGTGTTGGAGCTGCTGTGTTAAACTTTACCAATACCAAGAAGTGTCCATTTTGTAACATGAAAGCTTTTGCAACAATAACCCTTCTGGAATGTTGAGCATGTTGGTATCATGTAAAATGGGCGGAACAACTCTAGTTTAGTAAAAACTCTTCGATTTTTTCGAAATTTTTTCCAGAGGTAGGTATTTTTACCCTGATCCCGGGAAACTATTTTTTTCTTGGGGGACGGACCCGGGACCCCAGATTTTTGACCCGAAAGTCCGGGATCAAGACCCCGTCTGGACCCGGATCCACTTACCCGATATAGACAATATGGGTATCGATTGAAAGCTTATGGAAATACCTATCCAACAAGTGGTCACATGAAGGGGTAAGTTGTCATGGTTCGGAAGTTATAGTTCAATTATCAATTTTTTGGACCCGGATTTTTTATGAAACCCCCAAAATGTCAAAAAAGGGCCCATTATGGGGGTCAACAAATTTGTTTCCAAATTATAGCTGACACTCTTACCTTTCCAAAATGCTACAATTTGTGCTAATACCTTTTTCGGGTCCAGAGATATGGGTCTTTTCATCCGCATAACCCGATTCTAACCAGTTTATTAAAATGATGTTTTCAATAAAAAAGGGTTTATTTCGCGTAGCAGTCGTCGGAATAACAAAAGTTTTCTAAATTTGGCACTTTTTGTAAATAGCCGGCCTTCGGCCGGGGCTTGAGATTTTCTCCTCTGGGTATGTACGACACCGGCTAACGCGAACCAACGTTTTCTAAATTGGATACCTTTTGTAAGTAGCCGGCCTTCGGCCGGCGCTTGAGATTTTCTCCTCTGGGTATGTCCGACACCGGCTAACGCGAACCAAAGTTTTCTAAATTGGATACCTTTTGTAAGTAGCCGGCCTTCGGCCGGGGCTTGAGATTTTCTCCTCTGGGTATGTCCTACACCGGCTAACGCGAACCAAAGTTTTCTAAATTTGACACTTTTTGTAAATAGCCGGCCTTCGGCCGGGGCTTGAGATTTTCTCCTCTGGGTATGTCTCACACCGGCTAACGCGAACCAAAGTTTTCTAAATTTGACACTTTTTGTAAATAGCGGGCCTTCGGCCGGGGCTTGAGATTTTCTCCTCTGGGTATGTCCCACATCGGCTAACGCGAACCAAAGCTTTCTAAATTGGATACCTTTTGTAAGTAGCTTGAGATTTTGGGGCTTGAGATTTTCTCCTCTGGGTATGTCCTACACCGGCTAACGCGAATCAAAGATTTCTGAATTTCATGCTTACGCGAAATATACCTTTTTTTATTGAAAACATAGTTTTAATGAACTGGTTAGAATCGGGTTATGGGGATGGAAAGACCCATATCTCTGGACTCTGTAAAGCTATCAGCACAAATTGTAGCATTTTGGAAAGGTAAGAGTGTCAGCTATAATTTGGCATCAATTTTGTTGTCCCCCATAATGGACCCTTTTTTGACTTTTTGGGGGTTTTATAAAAAATCCGGGTCCAAAAAATCGATAATTTGACTATAACATCCGAACCGTAACATCTTACCACATCATGTGACCACTTGTTGGATAGGTATTTTCGTAAGCTTTCCAACGATATCCATATTGTGTATATCGGGTTATTCTATCCGGGTATAGCCGGGGTCTTGAACCCGGACTTTCGGGTCAAAAATCTGGGGTCCCAGGTCCGTCCCCCAAGAAAAAAATTGTTTCCCGGGATCAGGGTAAAAATACCTACCACTGGAAAAAATTTCGAAAAAATTGAAGAGTTTTTACTAAACTAGAGTTAAGCCAAATGGGCTATTGGTTCATTGTCAATGGTGGTAAAAAACCCACACATATGCTAGAAGATGTTTAGAACATCCTGGAGCAAAGTTTAGGAGACATTGGTTGCGATGTATAAGGCTACAGACCGGTCCGTCCTAGGCTTTTTTACACAAATTGAAAAATTCATATCCATGAGCAGGCTAGGATCCTGTCATTGAAGCAAATTAATATGTTGCCAATAAGACAGGTGCTATTCTGGAGACATCCAAGACATTCCAGCAACCCCTAGCGTGTTTACATTGTGTTAAAAAATCCATCTATTCAAAACTGACGACAACATATGAAATGGTCAGCCGTGGTTATGTAGTTTTTTGTGAACGTCCTTGGTCTAGACATCCATTATCTAGTGACACCCACTGGCAGAAATACCAAACACAACAAAGCAATGAGCTTTAAGTCGTCGGTTGTGTCCTCCATGCATAATCAAAATTATGCATTTTTGATTAGGCAGATTTTCACGTTTCTTTTCGACACATCCGTTAGAATTGCAGGTGCTATGTGAGTAGGCTGTCTCATAAAATATAAATCGATATATTAATTTTTTATCACAATTCCGAAAATTGACATCCCATTTTTTTCAATATTCGTGTTCAGCATATCAGCACTCTTTTCTACATTTGTATATCATTTCTTTCCAAGACTCCATGGCGAAGGTTATATCCGCCTTAGTCAGAAGTTCTTTCTAGTTGGAATAATTTACTTTGCGTGGCTCCAGTTTGGTCTGCAACACAGTTACCTTTCTTATCGTGGTAAAACTAATGTTGTTCCGGGTTTAGACCCGACCATTGTAGGAACGTATGCCGGTTTACAACGGAAATAAGAATACAACTGACCAATAACCGCTCCAAATTAAACATCGTGCTCTGTCCCGGTGCAAACCACAAAAATTGCAAACCACGACAAAATTGAAAGGTTTGAAAAAAGTCCTCAAGGCGCTAGCGGGCAGCACTTAAATCGCGATAAACAAGTCCGTGGCTCACTTTGCAGATCCGGTGTGGCCTGTCAACATTAGTTCTACGCAATGGAATAGTATTCAGACTTGCTAGAACTGCGACAGCGTGTCTCCTTATGACCAAAGTGATTATAACTCCTCATACCCAGGCATGTCAGGAAGTACCTGCATGAGGTCCAATGATATAGAAGCCTATCATCAGACAGGTCTGAGTAGCATTCATACTGACGCCGTCTCCGGTGTAGTCAATCACAACATAATTTCTAATTCTCTCTAAAATAATGAATGAATAATAAAGCATTTGATTTGAGAGTCTCGTAAATTTAAATATCGATAGACTAAGGTCAATCCACAACGTTCACCATATGATAGTAGAGATTCAGAGACGCGAAAAGTCTATGAGGGAATTTTTAACCCTTTTTTGTTTTCTCTGATCACAAAAACCCACCTCCACGTAGAAAATTTTCAAATATACTTACACCCAAGTTTTGGTATAGCCGCAACAAAATAATCACACAATCATCCATATTATTAGTTTAACTTTTTGCCATTTCATTACAGCTGTCGTATTTAAAGAATGAATGAATGAATTGTAAAAGAACAAGAGAAACAAAAGAATTTCCGTACAAATAATATAAAAAATAGTGTGGAAACAACAAAATATCGTCGCACAACTTGTAAACAATACTGACATTTAAAAAATAAAACAAAAAACAAAAAACAAGCAGCATCAAGAGAAAGCAAAAAATTAAGGAAGAAACAGAAAAACGAACTAATCCTTTTTAAACATTTACAAAGCCGCAATAAAAAAAAAACAAAAAGTATTCCTCTCTAGAATTGTTTAACAACGCCAACGACACAGCAACTGTCATCATCGATATTTCCACCATCAACAACAACAACATCTTCTTCACCATAAACACCAACAAAGTCTTCGGCAATCTCTTGAGCAACAGCCAACACCATGGATAGCTTTGAGGATGAGGTTGTTGCCCCAACAACCACAACATCTGAATCGCCCTTAAAAGATTGGCGTGTTAAATATCAGGCCGGTACATTGGAAAAAAAAGATTTCATTGAATTCTTTCAACGAGAATCGAGAAAATATTTCGAATTTCAACAGGAAAATACTGCGGGTGAGTGTGAAAATGTTTGTTTGTATACGATTTATTAATTTTTACTAACTCAACTAATGTAATTTGTAGAGAATATTCGGCTGAATCCCTCTGGAAAGTTGTGGTAATTTAAGTTTTTAAAATTTCTAGGAAAATCTTTAGATTTTAAAAAAAATAAGTTTTTAAAATTTCTAGGAAAAATCTTTCTAGGAAAAACGTTACATTGTTACTCGAACGTGGGCATTTTTTTCTGGTCCAAAAGAATTTTATTTGTTTGTTTTTTTTTTTTTTCAAGACGAGCTTAATATTCTGAAATGAAAAATGAAGCCATAGAAATATTATCACATACTCACCACTAATCGACTGGTTTCGGCGTTGGTTAAGCTACTCATTAGGCTAAAGTTTTGGAAGCATGACACTATCGCCATATTTAAATACATAGGGAAGAAAAAGGTCTAGCTAAAGATTGGAAATCAATTCTACTTTCTTATGGCAAAACCATGTTAGGGTTGAGGATTCTCATATGTTTTGATCTCATAAGAACCATTAATTTGCTTTGAATCTGTTAAATTTCTAAAATCTAAAAAGAATTGAAAGAAGAATATCTTTTCGCCTCGTCGAATGCAATTGCATTGTATTCCAATGACTGCTATAATGAAATCATTGAAATTGTAGTCAATATCAAGGCTTCTTGTCAAGTTAAACCAAACACACAGGTGTCTTCTTTGCTGCGGCTGCTACTATACGGAAATTCTTCATGGCTTTGTGTTGTATTTGCGGAAAATCCTTCAATACGCGCCACATTACTGGCCCTCAAAAACGCAACACAGACCGCCAGACCGCAACACTTAATCAACCAACCAGCCAACTACTGCAGTAACACAAAATGTAATTTTATCCATATTTTGCAACAGTTCTTTTTTATTAATCAAAAATATAACTACAATGAATGCGAAAGCCATCCAACAAAACACAAGTGCTAACATGCAATGCAACAGCTGACTCCGTATAATTGCAAAATTTTCGCAAAACTAGGAAGAATTGTAATTATAAGTTTTTAAAATGGAACTTAATGAGAAGTGGTTATTCTAAATTGCTTGGGAATTAAATGAGCTGTAACCGAATATGGATGCCATTAGGTTCGATAAAATCATACTAAATATGTTTCATACTTTTGCTGTAAATACAGGGTGAAATAAATAAACTGCAAAAATTTATTGAATGAAAGCAAAAATGTAGGAAATAGCATCAAATTTTAGAATAAGTTTAGATTTGTTCGAACTGATCACCTTTGGCACGAATTAAGGCCTTCAAACGGCCAATGAAACCGTCACACGCTGCCCGAATGTTGCTCTGTGGTATTTTGGCCCATTCCCGGCGAAGTGCTTGCTTGAGGTGATCGACACTTTGGTATTTTTTAGTGCCAACATTACTTTCCAAAATACTAACAAAGGAAACAATAGTCCAACGGATTGGTATGCGGTGATTTTGCTGGTCTTTGTGCGCTAGAAATGAAGCGAGGAACATCATTTTGTAACCATTCTTGGGTGGCGCGTGCTGAGTCCTGTTGGAATGTCCAAGGTCTGCGGTCAAAATGTTTGCGTGCCCAAGGCTTTAATATACACTCCTTCGGCATTTATTCTGATGCCATGGCCGATTAATACAAGCGGAGAGCGACCATCGGCTGTTATGGCGGACCACACCATCACCATGGCCGGCGCTTGTGTTCTGGTGGCCAACCGAAGGTGCACATTTTCAGCTGACCTCTTTGGCAAGTAAACACGATCATTTTGTTTGTTTACAAACTGCTGGACAACGAATGTTTTCTCATCGGAGAAAATCAAATTCGGCAGTTCACCACTCTTTAGCTCTTTTGAGGCTATTTTCTTTCTGTTGCGGTATAAGTTGTTGCACTTTTTGGAATTTCCATGGCTTTACCCCGAGCTCATTTTTCAATATTTGCCGAATGAAACATTCCGATTTGTTCAGCTCACGATCCATTTTTCGGCCAATGCCACAGGGGTTTCGATCAAGTTGCTTCTTTACTTTCGCGAATATTTTTTTTCTGGAAGATTCTCACCACTTGTAAACAATATAATGAGTTGTCACTGAAATAATCTTAACAGCTGTCGGACGAGTGGCTTAGAAATGACAGCAGTCGAAAATTGGTTGCAGTTTTTTCATCTCAACTTGTAGATAGAGCTCCCATATATATCTACAACCGATTTCGGGTTAATTGTGCACAAAATCGCCAATATCAGTCCAAATGACGAGAATTTGGCACATCAAACTGAACTCAGTCTAGAAGCAGGCACATCAAATTTGGTTTGATATATATTTCATCCGATGTGGTGTTTAAGTCCCTCACATTCGTAATATGCCCTCCATAGGAATGATATTTGATACCAGATATCAAATACAGCCCAGAAATAGGCCCGGCAAAAATTGTGAAGATCGAATTAGATTTGTATATAGCTCCCATATATAAATTTATTCGATTTCAGGTTTTTTGTGCCCCAAATGGCTAATATCATCCTAAACGGACTAAATTTTTGGAATTCCGACTGAATTCATCCTAGAAACAAGTACTACAAATTTGGTGAAAATCGGTTCAGTTATAGCTATAGTTCCCATATATATGTTTCATCCGATTTGATGTTTAAGTCCCTCACATTCGTAGTATGCATTCCACAAGGATGATGTTTGGTCTCATATTACTTATAGAGCTTAATAATACCTCTGTCAAATTTTATCAAGATCTGATCTGATTTGGATATAGCTCCCATAAATATATATCTTTATCCGAAATCAGGTTTTTTGTGCACCAAATGGTTAATATCAGCATAAATTGTCTGAATTTTAGGATTCCGACTGAATTCATCTTAGAAACCAATACTACAAATTTGGTGAAAATCGGTTTGGATATATAACCTCCAATATATGTTTCCTCCGATTTGGTGTTAGAGTCCCTCACATGCGTAATGTGTACTCCACAACAATGATATTTGATACGGGTCAACAGATACACCACGAAAATACCTCTGCAAAATTTTATCGAGATCGGTTCAAATTTTTTATGTAGCTTCTTTCATCTTTTCATCCGATTTCACGTTTATTAATCACCAAACATATAATATCAGCCCCAATTTGATAGTTTTTTTCATATTCAACCGAATTGTTCCATTTGGTGAAGCTGGGCCCGGTATACCTATTGCTCCAATAAATAGTTTTCAATATAATCCTTATCAAAGTCATATCATGCACAATACATCAATGTTATTCGGTACTAGAGGTACAAAAAAAGCCTCCGTCAAATTTGTTGAAAATCGATTCAGAGTTGGATATAGTTTTCAAATTGTGAATATTCTAAAGCCATGATATGCATTCTAATAAGGTTCATAGTTGGTATGATCTACTTCTCGTAAATTTCCAATATAAACTTTTTTGTTACGGGAGCTCTACTAAATACGCTTGGTGGTGTAGGCCATCATATTGTCGGCTTTTGACCTTTCCTTACGGGTTCTTGATATTATTGAAAAAAAAAAAAAAATAAATAAATAAATAAATGAATAAATTAATTTTGTTGCACTGCATTATATTTTCAATTTGGCTCAACCACTTTCACTTATACGAACATTTTATTTTCAGTTATGCCGAGCCTACTGTTATCGCCGGTAGATTTTAAAGGCAGCACAGACCTAAAGACACACAATAACAATGCTGCATACAAATCATGATATTCGATAGTCATCGTTGTTGGCGATATTCATATTCATTGGCGCAGGTCGCATAGCCACAAAAACGTTAATAAAAAAAACAAAAAACAAAACAAAAAACCTAAAAATAAAACAATGACGTCTCATATTTAAAACAATTATTAACTATTATTTACAACATTTAACTGTGTGTCTCTAATGTAACTGTCGTGTTGTCGTCGTCAACGTCCACGTTGTGGTTGGTTGTTGCACCAGTGCAATGGCAAACATGTGTTTTTTCGCAGCAGATTAACTTCAAACCCCATTGTTGGTCGGTGTTGCCGTCGTTGTCGTTGAAGTTGTCATTTGACATGCTAAACCAAATCACACGTAGACAGATAGATATGTTAATGAAAATGACATTTTAAACATAGGTATAGGTTTATAGGGTTTTTTTCTTTGGTTGAAACTAATCATAATAAAGTAAGGTCAATGTTAATCGTGGTTTGAAAAAAAAAAAACGGTAACAACAACGCCAATAAATGTTGGGTATCATCAACATAAGTGATCATGGTAAAAGTTTGTTTTTTGAACGGTACACCATCTCAATGTCTTTTGTAGATGGGGGTTTTTTACATTCAGTGACATTGAATGTGGTGTGGTAAGGGGAGATATTAATGTATATTAAAATGGTATAAAACCCATATTAAGAACGCATTTTGGGGTTAAGGTCGTACTTGATATGAGGTTTCGCAAAATTCTACTACAAAGATGAAATCAAAGGGAAAATTATTTTTCACAAAATTTCACTATATATGTCCAAAAAAAAAAGAAACGTATAACTCTCTTATATACAGGGTGAAATGAAAAAACTGCAACCAAATTGAGACTGCTGTCATTTCTAAGCCACTCGTCCGATAGCTGTTAAAATTATTCCAGTGACAGCACATTATATTGTTTACAAGCGTACAAAAGCTTTTTGGTGTCCATTTTCAGGAAAAAGTTATTCGTAATGGAATTCAAGCGTGATAGTGTGATTTCTTAATTTTTGACTGGAAACCACAAGGGGCTATCGTTAGAGCACTCCAGCATTTAAATTTGAATAAATCTTTTGTGTCTCGTACCATCGCTCGTTGTTACCGTGATACTGGCAGCGTAGCCCGACGTCAAGGAAGTGGACGGAAGAAAACAGCAACATCAGCAGAAAGCGACTTGATCGAGACCCGCGTTGCAGTAGCCGAAAAATGGCTCGTGAGCTGAACATATCGCAATATTCCATTCGGCAAATATTGAAAAATGAGCTCGAGGTAAAGCCATTGAAATTGC